GGCCGTCATCACTTTCATGGTTCTTCTTTTCTCCACGGGTGCCGGCTTTGATTTGCCAATTATCAGTGCAATTCTCGTTTTAGCCATGAGTGAGTGTTTGGTTCGTACCGTGCATACGTAGGGTTTTATTTAGTTTGTGTTTAATTTTGTCTCAATAGACGGTTCTAGAAGCAAACAGAAAATTATCGCGTAACTTTTCAGAAGGACCAATGTAACATATCCGCCATTTTCCACCATGAATCCATACATTTTGCAACACTATTTTACCGTAGACAGTGAGTAATAACGTTGGAAATTCGGTAGAAACGGTAAAATCACAATTTTATTTTGAAATTAATGCTAAAATATATATGAAAAAAAATCACATAGGACGTTTTGACTAATCAAGTTGTACATCGGACATGTTACATTGGTCGATTTCTCTAAATGACGTTTTGTTATAAATGATACTAGATTTCCTACCACATATTTCGGAGTGGAGTGCCTGACTCTAGGCCTGACTTTAGATTGGTTTTCCATGCCCCGCCTCTTGAAAGTGAGCAACCTGTCATAATAGGCAGCCTAAATTCCGAATTATCAATCAAGCGCCCATCAATTCAAACTGTAAATTTTGATCTATGATTATGTTGATTAAATAAGAGTAAATTTGGATGGGTGTTTTTTTTATATCACATAGCAATTTAGTTACAAGTAATTGAAAACTAGTGATTGAACAGATGAGAAAAGAACAGCAGTATTTTTTCATGCGTTTATATTAATTTATTTTAATGATGGCACGATGCTTGACGGTGCCAAGTAGCTATGCCTTTGGCGGTTGATCTAAGGGAGGCACAAATTGAAATTATTTATTTTCATTTTATTGTTCACTTCAACAGCATACTTCTTCATGGACCAAAAAAATGTTGAAATTCAAAGATAATCTATCCATTCAAAAGAAATCCAAAACATATCTGAAATACTGGATTCATCGATATAAATTATTCAGGTTTATTTCAGCTCTTCGAGGATAAATCACAAAAAGACAAACATTAAAATAATCAACCTGCTGCAGACTACTAGATCTACATAACCAACATTAGCTGGAACAATTATATATTTATACCGTGTTGCATTACTCATCGAAATTATTATTAAGCGGATGACGTAGTGGAAGCAACAACAATACATAACATTATATGCATATATTTTTTATACAGGTTATAATATATAATATATTTTTCGTTGTGCATGGCATCATTTAGAGGAGATTGTTAGTCCTGTCAGTCATCAGTCACACTTTACACCTTACATTTACATCCTTACATTATTGTAAAGAGATAATATCAAGTATAATTACAGATAAAAATATATGATTGCTTAATATAACCTTGAAATTTCAGTGTTACATCCACTTGATATTGGGAGCTGAGGAAACATAGAGCTGCATCTTATTATATGTAAAATATTTATTATTTTCAGTGCAGAATATCAACTATTTTATCTTTATAAAATTATATTTATTATTTCATAATTAATGTTCTGATATATTCCATTGCACATTACATATATTTTCATTATACAAATAAATACTGGGTTGGGAGGGAGCATCAGGGTATCAATTGACCTGAAATTGGACGATGGAGTGGTATGACAACCGGAGTCTAGAAGGGAATAAACACTATCATTTTCTTTATCCTACCGATTCGATTGTGGTGGTGTGAATTCTATTTCAACAGTTTCAGTGAGATTGACGCACCCTTCTTAACAAACCATCCTGTAGGAAGCTTAATAAGTATTGCGAATTGCGTTATTCGATTTGTTGGATCGTATCGTTGGAAGGAGATTCTTAAATTCCCGTGGATTTCGCGTAAGTGTCTCTGCTTACGGGTCCACCCCTCCGTTTTTGGCCCTTCATACAGCGATATTGTGAATTCAGATCGATAGCTCAAATTGATCTTGCTATTAAGTGGAGCTGCATACAAGACAAGATCTTTGAAGGGATGGTGGCTACCTTACATACATACATACATACATACAATGTCAGGGATAACAAGTCATTTCAGATGATATTAAAGGTAGATTTAGAAAGTGCTCTAAGAGATTTTAGACTTTCACTCCAAGTCACTTTTGTGAGTTCAAATTCAGGGTAGAATTTTTAAGTTAATCTGTGGAGATTTGCAAATCGGTTGTGAAGATCACAGTATCTTGACCGGACCGAGGTTTCCAGCCTCGGTAAAGGCTACACGAATCCGCGATGCTGCTATTCCTGCAGCTGCTACCGCTTCTGCTGGCTTTCACAAATGTCGTTTGCGTGTTTAGAATTAAAGGTTTTTGCAGTTTCTTCGTGGAATCGATACATTCTATCAGTAGGGGGCTTTTGTAGTCCAGCTGTCACCATCCAAACATTATTTTTCACTGAACATTGACTAAAATGGCTACTTCGATGTTTTTCTTTCGTACTGTTTCATTTCAGTTGCACGCATCCCCATGACAATTGAAAGCACTCTCGCATCCAATGCAATCCCATTAGGAATCCTATATTTATTTTATCCTTACTCAATTTTCGTCAAGACGACAAACTCAAAAAACTCTCTTCAATTACATTATTTTTACAGGCAAGCATGGTAAAATAGAATTCATCTGAATGAGTGTCGTTCCCCCTGTGTAAAACCCGGAATCAAACACCCTGTATGCAAACGACATATACACTAGCTCCAGTGTCGATCCAGCTCTTGATCTTATCGGCCACTAAAAAAATTTCTGATTCAGCGAAAGAACTACCGTCTACTGCGCCTTTGGTACCGTTCCCGCTTGACCATGTACCACCGGGCAATGAATCCATTCTTATTCGTCAGGTACAGAAACCGATCATCGTCAGTAGTTAAACACAGAAACGTTGGTGACAGATGCTGTCAAATAGGATTGATTAATATTTTTTTTCTATATTGTAGAAATAAACATGCTTTTGAAATTAATTCAAATATAAATAGGTATTTTAGTTATAAACATGTTTTCAATTTTCAATTACTTTGAATAATTCATTTGTTTAGAATATAAACATTTATATTTTTGATTGAACAAAATTCGTATCCGTGTAGCAGAGCAGCTGTATAAATATGAGGAGTCTTTCAAAAACTAAAAAGGATGATCAAATTCTTCGATGCAAACAGTGTAAATATATACGTTATTTGACAAATCCCTGGTAATAATGACTTAATTATTTAAATAATAATGAATTAATAAAAGAGAGTCATTATTAGCTGTTTTTTTTTTGTCAAATCAGGCATAACATTTGATAACGGCACAAAAGCATTTGTAAACCAACTTTCTAAGGCCCTTTACACTCGAACCAGAAAGGTGATAGAGGCAACTATCACCTTTCCGAAAGTGGTATTAGTTTGCGTAGGCGCACTTTGGTTCGCGTGTAAAGGGCCTTAGAAAGTTTGTTTACAAATGCTTTTGTGCCGTTATCAAATGTTATCTGAAATAACGTAGTTATTATTGACCTGTGCATGAAGAATTTTGGACAATTTATTTCAAATGGGTACCAGCGGTAGCCAGCGTAAACACATTAATGTGTAAAATTTCACACATTTCGTGAAAAAAAGGGGCTTACTCATAAAATGTGTAAACCCAGCAAACGTCAAAAGAAGTGTATTTTTTTACATATTTTTCAAGAACGGTTTTTACAGCAAAATGTGTACAAAGTAATCATTTCTAGAACTTAAATATAATGGGTGCGCATGGTTTTTTATTAACTTCGGAATTTTGTTATTTGTGTCAATGGTAAAATAAAGATTGCTCAAGATAATATTTTATTAAAACAAGAAATGCCATCAACAAAAAGAAGTAGCGGCACTGGAGGTGTAGTGGTAAGCGTGATTACCTCTCACCCCAGCAGGCCTGGGTTCAATCCCAGTTGACGCTGCCGGGATGTTCTGAGGCATAACATCTCTGATCGCGCCGAGGATCAGGGAAGGGAAGTGAAGCCACTGGTCCCGGTTCATGAGTTGATGGGTCGATAGGTAGGGTACAGGTATGGGAGCTTACGCCCTGGCGTCGGTAGCATTGGTGCTCAGGACGGAAAACAAATCAAGGGAAGAAAAACAAAAATCAGTATATGAAGTATATAAACTAAACTAAAACTAAAAGCTATGAAAAAAGTATAAATCACCTACCTTCTAGCATGTCCATCCCCTAATAAAAAATAACCATAAACGAACGGTAACCCAAATGATTGAACAATTCCACAAATGGTTTGGATGATACCCCGAACACGTCGTTAAGCAAATAACCATAACATTTTTATTAAGGTCGTTGCGCACTGTCCAGTTTTGACCATAGTTCCTTCATTTTCCTGCTGTTCTTCACTGAAAATTTAGCAAATGGCGTGCGTTAACAAAGCAGGATGCAGTAAAGTTTGAATTTTTATTTAACCCATTAATGAGTATGAAAATACACAGTTTTTGACTGGTACTACATTCTTAAAGTGTGTATTTTTTTACACATGTTAGGATCTCCAAATTTACACATTTTTTGACAGCTGCATATAAATATAAAAAATGTGTATTTTTTACTCATTTATGTGTTTACGCTGGTTACCGTGTTGTGCATATTGTTTGATTCCCAGTGAAAAAAGAGCTGATAAATCTTCTCGCTCATCATCGTCATCGTCATCATCCATCGCTTTCTTTCACTTCTGTGCCAACATTTCAAAGGGGCGTAATTGCTTTTGTAAACAATGACTTTAGCCGTCAATTTCTCGCGAATGAAATCTTACCTCTCCAAAATTACAATGCTAGCTGGTAAAGGAAACATTCCTCTACCTGGTGGTGTAATTATTTTTCATGAGTGAGCTTTTATTCGCGACAAATCGACGGAAAAAGCTATTGTTTACAAATGCAATTACGCCCCTTTGAAATGTTGGCACTGACTTGTATTTTCAATTTTTTTTTCGATCGACTCTTCCAAGTTGAATATCAGCAGTTCAGGAAATGTGATGTTAGCTGCCTTTTTCTTTCCTGTCCCTGTGTTCTTTAAAGAACACCAGGGTTTGAGGTCACATTCGCTACTAGACGAAGCATAGTGTTCAAATGAAAGAGATGACAAAATCATACTGCCATACCGTGTACGCGACATTAGGTAAACTCAGCTGCTCGAGTCCACACACGACCCGAAACGCGCACTGCCTAGGAACATCTTAAAATCCTCCAACAGAAAGCAAATCAATCCCCAAAGTTAGCTAAAATAATAGAAACATGGAAGGTAAAATCTTGAAAGCAGATAAACTGTAATAGAAAAGGCAAGCGAAGTGGCGTCGGAAGGTTACGTATTAAGGAAATTTCGTGATTTTTTTATGCATGACGCAGATAATATTGAATGTTGGATAAAGGTAATGAAGGTGGATGATAAATAGAGTGGGAGGTGTTTGCAACCCTATGAAAAAAGTCAAACCATCATGGCTGTCATCATCGATCATCAACCGTCATCAAATGGAGTCTGTGGAAGGAAGAAGAAACAGCAGCGAGAGGAAAGTAGCGCGTTGCTACACATAAGATGGCACCAATACCAACGACCATACGATATTGTTCAGAAAATTTCGAGACGAGGTTTTTCCTTCCAGTTTACAAGATTTTTCATCCTAAAATTATCCATTCAAAGTGACACCAAACCAGCCAAAACTATCAAAAAATCGTTCCTGAGCACGGCCAGAAGCGATTAACCGTGAAGGATACCGCTTTCGGGCGAAGCCAAAGCGAAAAACTTGAATTCTTTCTTGGGCTGTCCTAGAACAGGGCCGAGTACGATGTTTGCCGTCTGAAACGGGATTGCAAATTCTGAAGAAATTTGGCTATGCAAGTCTGTTTTTCAACCGGTTTACACCAGAACGGAAGGAGCTGAACATTTTGAGGTAATATTTTCTTGGTTTTTGCGAATTATTTTCCATTGGTAAGGGTTGATGTTTTTTCTTCGCATTCTGTTTGTGATGGGGAAGTCCTATAGTTTGACACCTTTTGTCAAAAAGATAAAAAGTAGCTTTTGGAGGTTAGGTTGTTCTCGAGAATCGAATGTTTGTGTTTGGGTTGTCGAGATTGGAGTTTTAAGGGTTTTCCAAAGTTATTTGTCTCAATCACAGCTATGAACGGAACATTCGATGGAAAATCTACAAGTTCGTCATCGTCGTCTTCTTCCGGTGGGGGAGGAGGTGGTAACGGAAGCGGAACTGTAAGCAGCATCCACCACCAGCATAAGGCGCCCCGGAATTACAAACTGATAGCGGACCCGTTTCTGCACAAGGGCGTCCCGAAGATATACCGCTACGATGGTATCGTTCCGGGGGATCCAACCTATCCACCGGTTATTCCGCGAGATCCTCGCAATCCGCTGGCAAGAATCAGATCCCGCATTGAACCATTCGACATAACTGTTCCCAGGTAAATAAATATTTCTTCCGGATTACATATCTGCAAATCAACAACAAAAACTGTTGCATCAAGCTTAAGATCTATGAAATATTTTAACGTTGCAATTGATTTTTGGAAATGAATTGCAGATAAAGTCACGTTTGATGGGATGTTAAATCGTAAGCTTTCTCTCAAAACAGGTTTAAAATCGACCAAAACTACATCGGAGAGCCACCGGCGATTGAAATTACTATCACAAACCTAAACGATAACATCGACAAACCGTTTCTTTCTGATCTGCTAGCCAAGTGTGGTACGTACACGGAGCTCTACATTTACTACCACCCGATAACGAACAAACATCTCGGAATCTCACGGATCGTGTTCGAGAATGTCCGCTCGGCACGTCTGTGTGTCGAGAGACTGAATGGAACTTCAGTGATGGGGAAAGTGTTGACCGTTTTCAAGGATCCCTTCGGAGAGGAATGTAAACGTTTGCTGGAAGACAAAACAACTGAGAAGAAGAAACCAGCTCCTCCACCGCCGCCGGCACCTTTGCACAATGCAACACCTCCGGTTCCGTCGAAGCCTCCACCGCCTCCGGTGCCATCGTCTTCGGCGTCGTCGTCATCCCATTATGGTAATCGCAGCAGCGTTGTAAGCACTGAGGTGCTGAATGACGATGACAATTGGGACTGTGATAGTTCTTCTACCACAAAGAAACCGCCTTCGTCGTCCAAGGCTGTTGTCAATACACTGGCCAACGAGAATGACATGTGGGATGTTGGTGATTTCTCCGGAAGTGCCGGTAATAGTCGGGATTCGTTGTCCTACGGGAAGGATAAATATTCCTCGACAAGTAAAACTATATCTCTGTACGATGATGCGCGAGACGACGACAGAGATAAGTCCAGGGATAAGTACTACGATCGTAAGGATAGAGATAAGAAGTACACTAAGGATGACAGACGGGATAGAGATCGTGATCGAGACTGGGATCGGGGAAGAGATCGGTTGGATCGAGATCGAGACCGTGAGCGGGAGAGAGAACGAGAGAGGGACCGGGACCGCGATCGGGATAGAGATCGTGAATGGGATCGAGATAAAGGCCGAGATTGGGACAGAGATCGGGATCGTTACGGAAGGGATCGTGGCGACAATCGACGAAGGAGTCGAAGTGGAGGATATTGGTATGGTGAGTCAGGAAGTTACTCAAGTGATATTGGTTATGGAAACAGCCGTTACTCGCAGTACGATTATAGTTATGGCTATGGAGCTTCTGATTATGGAACTTATGGATATCCTCCTCCACCACCACCACTACCACCACCACCACCATCATCATCATCAGCATCAGCATCAGCTACGACATCTGCAGCCAGTTATGCGACCCCTGCAAGCTCGTGGGTTCCTCCTCCACCTCCGGAAGAAAAACCAAAAGCTCCTCCACCGCCTCCGTCGGGGAAATCAGTCCTGGGTGGAAAAACGGTCCTGGACGATTCCGATATGTGGGATGTTGATGAAGTGCCTTCGGTGCATCCAAAAGCTCCTTCTACTCCTCCTCCTCCTATTCCACCTGAACCAAAGAGTGAAACCATCGCAGACGACGAAAATAGTGGATCTGCTCTGGATTTGGACACAAGAATAGCGCTTATGTTCAAAGATAAAACCTTCGGTGGTGCACCGTTTCTCCAGCTTAGCGACGCGGAAGAAGAAGAGAAAAAGGAAGAAGGCGAAACAGGCGACGAAAGTCAGGAAGTTCCAATCAAGCAGGAAATCAAAGAGGAACGACCGCCCAGTCCCCCCTCCGAGGAAGTGCAAGTCAAAAAGGAAATCAAGTTGGAACCACCGAAAGAGGAAGGGGCCAGTGACATTTCATCCAGTGACGATGAGATTCTTGCGAAGGAAAGTCCAACGCCGCCACCCCTACTGCCGAGTAAACCATACATGGAAGATATCATCAAACGAGATAACGATCAAATGTCGTTATCAAGCCTGTCCTCGACGGACGGTAAAAATGAAGATTCCAAAGCACCACCACTTCCATCGGATCCCGCTCCAGATGTACCTCCGCCTCCGGAACCTAGCGACTCATTCGCCTACGTTTATCCTCCTGGCATTGCACCCGGTATGGGATACCCGCCAGCCCCACCTGGTACCGACCCGTCGTATTATTACTCTCAAACGTACTCTCAAAGCTCGTACCAGCAATATCAACAATCAGGCTATTACCAACACAGTTACATGAATCCATATATGCCGGGCTTCACCGGAGCAACATATCCATACCAGGTACCATCATCCCAATCATACTCTTACTCGCCGAACAAGAAGGAATCCTATGATGACGATCGTCATCGCTCGTACGCCAGCTCGGGACGAGAACGGGAGCGAGAACGCAAGAAGCGAGATCGTTACGAGGACGCTATTACAGCTGTAATAGAACGCGTTACGGCTGAACTGAAGCAAATCCTCAAGAAAGATTTCAATAAAAAGATGATCGAAAATACCGCGTATAAAAAGTATGAAGCTTGGTGGGACGAAGAAGAACTAAAGAGCAAAGGCAAGGACAAGGACGTGCTGAACGACATAACTCCGCTAACCGTTGCGAAGGTAGACAAAGCTCCGGACATCAATCAGCTTCTCAATCAAACCTATGATAATCTGGACACTAATAATAGCTACATAGGATTAGGCTTAAGAGCTACCATCCCGAAGATGCCTAGTTTCAGGAGGATACGAAAGCAACCGAGCCCTGTTCCTCAGGACGAAGACTCAAGGCGAAGTGATCAGGAAGATATGGTGCACGGTTCAGATTCGGAAAAAGAAACCGACTTTCCGAGTGGGTCACAAACAAAGGCAAAAACTCCACCTCCATCGGGGTCTTCTACGGCGGCTGTCCCCGTTTCGCGAACGTCTTCCACTTCCGCAGTGTCTCGCAGTGCGGAGAAACGAAAGCCCAGTCCAGTTTCGTCATTCTTTACGTCATCGAGCGAAGAGGAAAGCAGTGCTAGTGAGTCGGAAGAAAGTAGCGATTCTGCTTCGCTCTCCGATGTGGAAATGTCGTACACGAGCCGGAAACAGCAACCGTCATCTTCCCGCGACAAACGCGAAAAGCGAATATATTCCGATTCCGACAGTGATGATGATTTGGATCATCCGAGTGGGAAATTTTCGCTTCCATCCAGCAGCGCCGGATCACGTAACAAAGCCAAAATATATTCCGACTCAGATACGGATGAACCAAGCAAACCACCCCGAAAGGAAATTCTTCCGCCTGTATCGACCGAGAAGGCGCGAAGCAGAAGTCCAGATGGTCCAATGCTTAGCAATGTACAGGATCGGAAAGCGACGTTACCACAAACTCCGCCGGAACCCGTCTCGATGCTGCCACTGGACCAGCTGCACGAGGACCTATCACCGGACGTGGACGAAAGTCCTCCGTCCCAGCAGCCACCGCGGACACCTGGACGAGAATCTCCCAAAAAATCTCTCTACGAACTCGATCGAATTTACAGCGATTCCGATGAGGAACGCGAATATCAGCAAAAGCAAAGGCGGAAGGCAGAATACCTGGAACAAATCGAACGTGAGTTCCAGGAAGAGCAAGCTCGATTGGCGCAGGAACAAGCAGAGGCAGAAAAAGCCGCAGCAGAAGCTCCTCCGCCCCCTCCTGCCACTAAATCCCCGACCAAGGGAGCCCGAAATAATAAGAAAAACGCCTCGACCATTGCATTACTGGAAAAGGCTCCAAGTCCTGGCGATCCGATTACCCCGCTTACCAGCCAACCGCCCCCAACGCCCGGTGCTGGATTACTCGATCTATGTAAAGATCCTTTCAGTTCCACTCCAATAGCTCCAGCCACGACGGCAACTGGAAAGAAAGCAAAGAAGCCTCCAAAATCCAGAGCGAAAGGCGGTAAGAAAGCAAAGGATACGAATGGAGTACCACCAAGTGTTGTTCCCACACGGGAAATTCCACCGGCACCAGTGGAATTACCTCCAAGTCTACCTCTCAACGTTGCCCAACCTACCACAATGGTGTTGCCTCCTCGTGTTGCTGCTCTCGGTGGCTCAGCGCCTCTCAGTTCATCGGAAGACTTCTTCTCCGCTGAGGAGGAAGCAGCACGAAGAGCTGCCAAAGCATCGCCCGCTTCATCCGATGGTGGCTCCAGCCAAGCTAGTCAAGTGGCTCTCGATCACTGTTATTCGCTTCCACCGTCTGCATCCCCTTCATCTTCCTCGCCCCATCCTCAGTCAGATTCATATGCGCCGGTCGCAAAATCTGCCAACAAATATGCTCCATCGTCCGATGTGCTAGCACATGACCACGGTTACACCAACAATGACGATGTAATAGGCGGTGCAATCCCAGGAACCCCCGGCGCATCCATTCCGATGCAAGAGCAAACTGATATGCCGTCCGTGTCGATGATACCCAGTGCCAGTGCTACTGCCCCTGTTTCTATTCCATCCCCGTCGACGCCAGTGACCCGACCCGTTGGACGACCGAAAAAAGATCCCAATGCTCCCAAGGCGAAGCACAAAAAGCAAACCGAAAAACAGGAGAAAGCCGCAGCTGCACAACTGGCCACGGCTGCAGCCGCAGCTGCAGCTGCTTCTCAAATTTTGGTTCCCCATGGACAACGGCAATCCTTCGTACCAGTTGCCAAATACCACGAGCGGGACATTCGTTCCGAAATGGCAATTTTGTACGATTTCCTTACGCGTGGAATCGACGCCGAGGATATCCAGTATATAAAACAAAGCTACGAGCTCCTGCTCAGTGATGACGCCAATAACTATTGGCTAAATGCGACGCATTGGGTTGACCACTGCACGACGGAACGAAGCTATGTCCCGCCACCGGCAAAGAAACGCAAAAAAGACAAAGAATCCGTATCGGACATCAAGCAGCACTCGACGGGATCGGCACGGACGCAAGGTTTCTACAAAATCGATCCTCGTGAGAAGGCGAAATACAAATATCATCACCTGAAGGGAACACCCGCTGCCAACCACCTGAATAACATTGAAACCGCCAAAGCTGCCACCAAAATGCAAGGTCTCTCTCGGGAGGCTCGTTCCAATCAACGGCGGTTACTGACGGCATTTGGCGCCAGTACCGAATCTGAACTGCTCAAGTTCAATCAACTGAAGTTCCGCAAAAAGCAGCTAAAGTTTGCCAAGTCGGCCATCCACGATTGGGGTCTATTTGCGATGGAACCGATTGCAGCAGACGAGATGGTGATCGAGTACGTCGGACAGATGGTGCGGCCCTCGGTGGCGGATCTTCGGGAGACCAAGTACGAAGCCATCGGTATCGGTAGTTCATATCTGTTCCGTATCGATATGGAAACGATCATCGATGCGACTAAGTGCGGTAATCTGGCACGGTTCATCAATCACAGTTGTAATGTAAGTATTACAGCCCAAAATCACCGCATACAAATATTCTATCAATTTGTAATCTCATCCTTCAATTTTACTTACAGCCCAACTGCTACGCTAAAGTCATTACGATCGAGTCGGAAAAGAAGATCGTCATCTACTCGAAGCAACCGATCGGGGTAAACGAGGAGATCACGTACGACTACAAGTTTCCCCTGGAGGACGAGAAGATTCCTTGTCTTTGCGGTGCAACGGGTTGTCGTGGAACGCTCAACTAGATGAGCGGCTACAACGACGAGAGGTGGTGCCCAGGTACGATTATGTATTTTATTTTCTTCGTAGAACGAGAATGCTCATTGATAGAAATTTAATGCTGGACGAGAAGGAGCAGTGAACAGTTTAGGATTGTTAAGTTAAATAAGAACCTGTAAAACAGAAACTAGGAACAATTTATACTTAGTTAAACAAACATCAACTGGTGGAATTTGGCTGTAGAATTCTTCGAAACTCCTTTTAGAATCTGTTGAAGTCGATCTCAGTGCCTGACTATAGTGGGAGCTGTCATATCTCCCGCGTCCGATAAATTCATTCCTTCTGCTGTCTTGGTTTGATGTCCGTTATATTTCGGACATCGGTCTTGGTCCTCGGTCTCTGTGCCTTCAAGCCGAACAGTGGATTAGCTACTAAGTAACATTGAGTGTTTCTCTTCATCGGCTTTCTCTTTCATTAACAACTTGACTACAAAACCGTTTCTTGCCGTGTTAGCCATAATATTAGATCCTAGATAATAGCTTCTTTTATCGAACTGTGTGTTAAAAATATCTGGAAATGTCTATACATGCATGGCCGTAGGGATGCGAGGAGAAAATCTACGAAGAGAATCTGTCAATGTTACTTAGGACCTAACCCATTGTTCGGCTTGAATTGTTCATCTAAACGGACTCATTAGCACTCGCCGCGCTGTTGATGGCTGCTTCATGCGGTATTGTGGGAACATTATGGTACATTGGTATTATTTTTTGGTATTTTACCTCTTATGTCAGGCTCATCCATACGAATTTAGTGTATCGAGATATTCATTCCTGCTCAGGAATAGAACTTCCTTGATGAAATCGGCTGCTTCATGCAGACTGAGCAATTCTGATTATAGTATCAGATTTGTTCTGTATACAGAGGAACTGGGAGGGCTTATTAGAAACTTCTCACCAATAAAGTAATGATCTTCTAGTAAATTTTGCATATCATTTTATTAAAATTTTATTTTATTTTAGCATATTATTTTTGTTACAGTCAATTGGCATTAGCATACGATACAAAATATTTAATATTATTTGCTCGTTTTTGCGTAAAATAATCAATAATACCTTTGAAAGTTTTTTTCAAATTTTTTTTTTTGTGGTCTGATAGATTTCCCAGTTTGGTTAGAAGTTTCGAAGCTAACACATGTCCACAGGCCTAATAGAAAGACAGGTAGAAAATGTGTATCATAAAGAATGGTTGCATGCAGGGTTGCTGTCACTCACTTGCTATAGATGAGTGATTTTCGGAGTTTTGGATTCGTTAGTAATGGGGATTTGTATTTGTCGGATACGGGAGGAGATTGGAGGGCGGGTGTTTGACGCATAGAGCCTGTTAATTTCGCTTTCAGAGTGTTGCAGTCAGCGGTTTTATGATTCGTGAGCGCTCGCGATTCGTAGAATCGTTGATTGTGGCTGCAAGTGGATCTGACAGGTTTTGTGTGTCAGACCCTTGCCTTTTGGCCTCTTCTTGTCTCTAGCATGTGCAAAGTATCATTATAGCGTCTAATGGTTTTCAGATTCCTGGTTGCTTGAAATACATTTGTGAGAATATCTGTTTGAGATTTTAGTAGTCACGTTTTGTTTGTAGTTTATATTTTATTTCTTTCATGAAATTATCGTAAATAATAGTTATTCAATAATAGATAATTCATCCATATATTCAATAATAAATTTACGGATGACTTTGGATACCTAACAATTGGACAGAATCACTATCAAGAATAGGTTGCGGAGTGTTCGCCTTCGAAAATATCGATACGTTTTTCAGGGTTGTAGTTTTGGTTTTCATCAGTGGTCCAGCTCTGGTTGTGACCGTTTTAGGTAGTATTTGTAGGTAAATATTTAGATTACAGCACAACTTTGCTTCTACGAATCCACAAAAGACATTAAATTGGAGGCGGATTCTTGTACGGAATTACAGGCTGCTATTCTGAGCAACTTAGCGCCATAAAATTAAAAAATTATGTTTAGGTATTAGTTAACAAATGTGGATAGTAAGTTGGATATGTTATGGTATGAACTTCTGCAACGTTCTCTTTTTAGTTCATTATTCTTGAACGCAGTTAAAACTAGGAGATGAGGAAGAAATATAATCATTTGGTGCAAACACACAAAAAACACACACACATACACATACACAGATACACAAATACATCATGACATTAGACAAGAAAACATCCAGACATTAAAACTGACGAACGAATGAGAAGAAGACATAGACAAAGACAGATCAGCGATTACCGAACCATAAAGATTTTCAAGAAGATTGTGATTAATAAAGATCGTGAATCCGGTGTTTAATTGGTCACCATAGACTAATCCGTCAGGCATCGTAGTCACTTGAAAAATTTTCTCATCAACCCCGATCATTGCAATCCTATGGAAATATTTCTATGGGTATGCACGTTTGGAAAGTATCATCACAAAGATTCTGCACTCGGTCTACAGCTTGTGGGCGTGAAGCGTTGTTTTTGTTTTTTTTATCTATTTATAGAGTCACTTCTTAGGAATACGAAGCGAAAGACAAATCAAGAATTAAGCACAAGATCTTCAAGAAAACTAACAACACGAAGTCTGGAAATGGCAATGTTAAAAATGGCAAAACGTTAAGTATTTCAAGAATATTGGGTGAGACCAATCTAATTGTATTTAATCTTATTTTTGTGTAGTAGGATATTCAATTGAACCGGTCCGGGTTATTATGATACTGTATGATCTTTTAAGCATTTTTCCTAAATTTTGGGATACTAGGGTTTAAAAATTATGAAATTATAAAACAAGATTTACAGGTATTGCAAAACATGGTCCTCTGTACGTTTTCTTTCCAACTTTTACTAATACTACTGTAACTCCGACTATCCCAACTTGAAACACTATTCCTCCCTATCCGGCATCTTAAGCAGGATTCAATTGATCCCTATGATTATTATTCTGTGGTGCCAAATCTTTACCTCTACCCTTGTGCTGTATGGACAGTGATGTTTTACTGGAGACCTGGTTTTTTTTTTTTTTTTTTAATCTTTATTTTAGAGATTTTTAGCCTGAGGCTAGTTCATCTCTTACTGGAGACCTGGCTCTATGACTATAGTCGCTATATTCATAGTGTTGGATTTTTTGGGTTCGGACCTCCTCAAAGAAACGCACTGGATTCCGTTGTGCCGTGATTCTTGAAGCTAGATAATATATTTCATTAATTAGAGAAAGTAAAATAGAATTCATCCCACTTACAATTTGGTCTACCTTATATTGGCACAAATCCAACAAATTCTGCTCTGTATGTGCGCGGTTTAGTGTCGATCTAGTAGTTATTTAAATCAAATTTAATTATAGCTATTCGATAAACAATTTACGAACTTACAATCAGATTACAGCAGTGTAACCTATCCGAAAGTGCACTCAACCTCAGTGAAATCCAGGAAGAGTCAAAGACTCAAGATTATTCTAACCCTAAATTACAAATAGGTTAGGTAAATTAAGCAAATCTTTAACAATTTTAAACTTACGTATACGAATGACCAGATTTATCTAGGTCTAGATCGGTCCCTCCGTGGGTGAAATAATCAGTTCGAAATAAACTTAAAAATCTATACTAGAAGTATAACGAAATAACCACATTTCAATCTTCCTTCTTCGGTATGGCTGAATTGTTTCCTTTTTCCTCTACCTTTTGTTCATATTGCTGTTGCTTGACGTTTATGATCACGCTGACGTTTACTGATCGTGGACACAGGCGGACTCCGATTGGGGGCATCGCAAGAGGCCTTACTTTCAGTGCTGCTAGAATTGGCAACATCCCCCGACTCGTAACGCACTTCCGTTTTCGCTACCAAATCAACGTTACCATCAGATTGCACCTTCAGCACTGCCAGCTTTGAGACTGGACGCCGGAACACTCCACCCGTAGTTTGTACCAACGCTTGGTGTATACGTCCATCGCTTCCCTTTATAACCGATAGGACACGTCCCCTGGTCCATCCGTTGCGCTGGCTCTCGTTTACTATTACCACCAGATCGTTCACCTTTACCGCTTCCGCTTCACTGAACCACTTGGTTCGTTTGGCAATCGATGGAAGGTATTCTATGACCCATCGCCTCCAGAACTGGTCCACGAGTTGTCTAGTCATGGTCCAGTTCGTACGGGTTATCTTCGTAGGTTCATCCAGTGCTCTTGGAGGTTGCAATACACCGTTCGAACTCAGCAAGATGAAGTGGTTCGGTGTTAGTGCTTCCTGGTTGGAGTTCTCCAGCGGGATGAATGTGAGTGGTCTGGAGTTCACAATTGCTTCTGCTTCCGTGACCACGGTTAGCAGCGTTTCATCGTCCGGATTCCTATCACTACATAAAGATCCCATTGCAATCTTGACCGATCTTACAAGACGTTCCCAAGCACCACCAAAATAGGGAGCGGATGGTGGATTGAAGATCCACTTGGTAGCCGAGTTCGTGAACGTCTCTTGTAGTTGTTTCCCTATGGCTTCGATCTCCTCTCGTAGTTCACGGCTGGCTCCCAGAAAGTTGGTTCCATTATCGGAGTGAATTTCGACAGGTGATCCCCGGCGTGCTACGAACCGACGTACGGCCATCTTACATGACTCCGTAGATAACGAGTGGACGACTTCCAGGTGGACTGCTCTCACCGTTGTAACGGATTGATACGCATTGCATCATGACCGGGTAAATAGTAGAGTGGGATTAGTGTTCAGTACCGGGTATGAATTAGGAAACGTGATAGCACGATGTATGAGTGAACCTATGAGCGAGTGGGATAGCGAGATAGCGATACTGGTTGGTGTTGAGTGAGTAGCAACAGGCGAGTCAGTCAGTGTTCGACAGTGCCATCAAACAGACGTGGATACGAGTGCGGGTCAGTGTACAGTACGAATCGGCGTGTTACAATGGCGGCGAGGATTAAAATTGGTAAGTTTCAGTTTTGGAACAAGAAAACAAAAAAAAAATATGAACAAATGTTTCATGCGTACATTTCGAGGTACATTTACGTACCAACAGTACTGGCAATTTAGTGAAAAAACAATAATTCGGGAGATAGAGTGAATCTGATTTTTTTTTCTCAAGACTAACGTGAACGCTGGAAAAAAAAATATATGGCGGCTTATTGGAAAAATTTGCAGCTGCTTAGGCCAGAATGCACAGAAGATGAGAAAACATGGCG